TCCTCTCGAGTACGGTAAATAAAAGAGATGAAATTATACGCACGCTCATCGAGATTTTGTTAGTTCACTGAAGAGGAAACTAACGAAAATATTCATTGAAATATGCGCGGAAAATATTCATCGAAATGCGCGTTTATAGATTTTATGCCGACAAGCTACGACGATTTATTATTATTGTTATGTGTGTAAATTAAATTTCGATGTCAAAAAAAAAAAAAATTTAGCCGTATTATCCAAAATTAATTATTCGAAGAAAAGAAATTCATTATAATATTACTCGTGTGATTTATATCAATTGTATATCAGCTGACGCTGCCACGCTCATCAGTTGTAAGGTAAGAAGTCCGCTTTTTTTACGTAACTGTCACGACAGTTTATTATCCCATTAAGAGAGGATATGCGCGCCGAGTTACATGCTTTCGCGAAAATTTTGTCAGCAGTTTTCTTGGGATTCAGCCAAAATGTCACTATATGTTACCGAAAGAAGACATCGGTACGACGAGATGTCGCGACGCGATAATGTTTGATGATAATTGAACATCTATTAAAGAATTATATTGCATATATATTGTATAAATGTATACAATTATATATAACGAAAAAGAAGTCCCGATATGATCGTTGTGTTCGATATTTCTTATAATTAAAATTTTTTTTTTTTTGATAACACAAAACAGAGAATATCGAGGAAACAGTGTTGACAGGAATTTTCTCAGAGGCACGAGGTAGAGTTTGTTGGAATTTTTTTCTTTACTTCGTTGATCGACAGACGAGTAAATGAAGTAAACTGCTCATTAGCTTTTAGCGAACCGCGACATTTCGATTCAATTTAATGCGCACGGTAAACGGAATTTTTTTCCCTCGCATTTCTCTTCGGAGAGTTTAATTAAATCGTATTCAATGAGAAAATATACTAAAATGAATAAGTCAGAAATGAATGTAAGCTTTATATGACTTGCCACGGTAAATTATAAGAATATTTTTAACAACAGTTTCTTCAGCTATAACTTGATAAATTAATGATCTCTGTAATAATGCTACCAAACTTCTATAATAGGTTACATTATTAATTTCATGCAAGCAATAATAATAAAAAATACTTGATAACGTAGAAAAGAAATAAATTGTAACGAAGAAGATCGAAAAGGATCTTGTGGATAGTTGACATCTTGAAAAGCCATTGTCATTTATTATATAGATTCAGGATATAATATATTATCGTATCCAATAACGTCTCATAATTTTTATTACTAAAGTTGAGAATCTTCTGTATATTGTAACAAAGAACCGGAATTTCATATATGTAGCTTAAACTGTCAAAACTTACATTTTTCATATTTACATTTAATGTTTTTCAAAGTGTTAAGTTTCACGCTTCTGCAGTGAAGAATAATTTAAGAGAAAGATATCAATGAAATCTAAATGGAACATAAATTACATAATAGAGAATAAATTAATAAGATAATTAATAAGAATATATTACACATAAAAAATAAAGATATGTTTTATTATATTTGTTTTAATGTGTATAAAATATATTTACATCGTAATTCATTATATTTATGCTTAGAAGATATAATCAAGATTTACTATTTCGCGAAAAGTAAAAGATTACAAATTCCCTGTAGAAGAAGAGGAAGATTACTCGCCGTGGAACTCCAATAAAACGAATGCCATTTGTTCGGTGAAAATTAATCGAACCGTGTTCTCGAACGAAAATCTCCGCCGCTCTCTCGTCGGAATGATTTTCCTTTATCTCGGAGAAAGACGAACGGGCCAGGGAAATATTCCTTTCGAAAATTTGACATTATAAGAATGAGAAATTTTCGTAACTAAGGGGAAAATGCGTTTCCGGGGGTTAGGACGGGGTTAGGACGGGAACTAGGAGTGCGCGACAGTTTAGGACGAACATCATCATCTCTGATGAATGCGAACTTTATCTCAATCCTCTTTGCATAGGAAGTGGTCAGGCTCGTTGTCCACTAACGCGGATAAAACGACTACGTTTCTCTTGCTAAGGTCCCCTATCTGCACTCTTCCAGAGAAAGCATAGAATCAACTTAGACCCTCTTTCTTCCTTTCTCCCGACTCTCTCTCTCGCTTCCATCCTTTACTTCCCTTCTTTTCGCCTCTTTTTGCTTGGCACCGCAACGCTCGGAGAGAGAACCCTCGGAGCCATTTCGCAGTCGATATATGCGCCTCTTCGCTTATCCTATCCTCAAACCTCTGTATGCTCCATTTGCGATTTTCTCCTAAGTTTTATAGTTTCAGTAACGCCGTTTCGTATATTCGTGTTATCTCCCTCGCCGAAGGATATGGATGTTTAGGATACACATACAGCTCTCCTTTGGACTCTAGCAAAATATACTGGTGCAATTACTGAAAAAAAATTTAATTTTGTGAAATTAAGAAATATTTAGTTCAATACTGTCAAATAAATTATTTATTTGAAACAAATAAATATTTTTTATATCAAATAAATATTATTAATTCGAATTTAATGAAAGTCGCTAGTAGATAAAGTCAAAAAAGATTTTTTAATTAACCACAGTGGCAATTCTTTATTGAATTAATCATTAACACAACGTTTCCATGAGTTTTGGTCCTTTTCAAGTGTACTAAGTTACGTTAGCTGTCAAAAACCAGTAATTTCGTCGAACAAGGGATGAAAAGAAAATTTCTTTCTGTTAAAACACATCGTCACATAAGAAGTACACATCGTACACATAAGAAGTTAAGAACAGACTCCAAAAAAAAATTACTGGCCGTTTTTGACAGCCAACGGAACTTAGTACACTTGAGAAGGACCAAAACTCATGGTCGGAACGTTGTGTTGATGATTAATTGAATAAAGCATTGTCAGTGTGGTCTTTTTAAAGAAACCTTTCTTAAATATTATTAGTTTCAAATAAATGCCTTATTTTTACAGTATTGAAATCAATACTTATAAGAATTACCTAAATTTTTCTTCAGTGTACTTTATGTCTTCGACCAAACACGTAAGAAAGATTCACGTGCGCGGGAAGCAAAATGTGGTTCCTTCTTAGCGCGCGAAATTTCCTTTCTTCGCGTAAATCCCGGTACGCGATGAAGCTTTAATTCCTCTTAGCAAAACGTACGAACCCCGAACATTGTCAAATATACGAGCTTAATTCAAGAGCGTGGTCAGACTCGAGCGGGCGCGCAGTAATCCAGGTTGGGAAGCAATTTCGGTTCTTCATCAGACTGCCTTATGTACTTGAAGAGAAAAGGGGTGGCGGCCACCCCTGATGCTATTCTCAGCCTCTCTGCGTTCTCAGTCTCTTTTATCTCTTCCTCTTTTTGTCGGCCCCATCTTTTCGCTCCCACGGCGTCTCTTCGCGCGACGAGGTGCCTCGACAATTTTTAAACCGTGTCTTCGAAGCCTAGCGATATATGTAGCCGCGTTTCGAGATATCGCGAGATTGAATTAAAGCGAGATCGCGATAGCGAAACTCTCTCGCGCATCGATACGGTCAGTATGTCGAGGAAACTCGGTAATCCGGTAATAAGATGCAACTCGGTTTCTCTCGCAGCGAAGAGCTTTCAAGACGAGAGACGAGTCTATCTCTGGTCTATATATACTAGTTCGACGCTGCTCTATGCTAGAATTTTGTGTCTTAAAGTTGGTCCAGAGTTTGAAATAAATCTATTCTCCCGAAGTCTCTTAATTACAAGTGCCTGCGAATAAACTTCTTGGATGCAAAAAGTCAGAGGAAATAAGTACATAAGGATTGTAATTATTAATTTAATGTACTTTCTTTCTCTTCTTAGCGTTGCGCACAAATTGATTTCCATCTAAAGATAGTATATTTTTAAATTCTTATAGAGTATATTTTTATATTTTAAATTCTGATAGTATATTCTATAGTATATTTTTAAATATCGTTAAACTCTATAAAAAGAGTTTAAAATTTTTTTATACTTATTATTTAAAATAAGGAATAAATAGGAATTTAAAAATAATTTCTTTTGTTGCACTTAATATCTGTGTCTGGCTTTTATTAGCTCTTTTTATTGGTGCAGCAAAATTATTTTTAATTTCCTTTATACGTACTATTTAAAATAAGTATAGAGAATTAATACAAGAGGAAAGGCTTTTACACGAGCAAATATGGATGACTAAGTAAAGAAAAATTTAAAAATAATTTTCTCGTTGCATCTAATAATATATATCTGAGTTTTGATACAACAAAAAATTATTATTAAATTCCTTTATATTTATTCAAATAAGAAACAGAGTAATTTAAAAATTATTTTGTTGCACCAATATATCTATGTCCAGCTTTTATTAACTCTTTTTATTCGTGCAGCAAAATTATTTTTAATTTCCTTTATACTTACTAGTTGAAATAAGTATATAAAAATTTAAAAATAATTTTCTTGTTGCATCTGACATATATCTGAGTTTAGGTGCAACAAAAAATTATTATTAAATTCCTTTACATTTATTCAAATAAGGAATAGAGAATAAAATAATTTCGTTACACCTAATATCTGTGCCTGAGTCTTACTACCTCTTTTAACATCCAAATTTATACATCAGAATCTTTTCGATTTATTAATCCGATTTATTACAAGATTATTTCGATGATCCTCTTTAAATATCTTCGATAATAGCATCGCTAATCACACCCCGAGAATCCCTCGTACAGAATCAACCCCTGGAAGTTGGTCAGGGTCGCGCGAATCCGCTAACCCAGATAGGCCAGAAGATACATAGGCTCCCTTTTTCGCGAGATTGTCTTCGGCATTCGGCGTAGAATGTCGAACGAGAATTTCGTGTGTCTCCATGCATGTCTTCCTCTTCCCTTACATAGTTTGTGCCTCTATTTCTCTCTCTCTCTCCTTCACCCTCCCTCTCTCTCTCCAGCCACCCCTTTCGAGCCACCCCTCGAAGGCCACCCACTATCCCGCACTGCCTGTCCGCGCACTCGTCTGGGGGTGGCGGTAAGTTCTCGCGCAGCCAGTGCCCGCGCGTCTCTCGCGATCGTCGGACCGCGCGTACGTAAAACGGGGAGGTTCTCGCCGTCGTCGTCGTCGTCACGCGCGTGGACGTTCCACGGAAGCCGGTCAGGACCGGCTCTTTCTCTCTCTTCCGCGTGGACGTTCCCACGGAAGCCGGTCAGGACCAGATCTGTCTCTCTCTCTCTTCCGCGTGACCTAGTGCGCGATCGCGAGCGTCTTCGCTCCCGAGGAACGAAAGCGGATCCCGGGATGCTCCGGATCGTCCGACGATCGGACCAGCGATCGACCCTCGCGATCTTGAGATTCTTCGGGGAGCGACGGTGATCTCGTAAGAGTTGTTCACGAATGAATGAATCGGTTTTCCCGTGATAAAAAAATATACAAACCTCTGACGATAGATTCAGCTTCTCCGATTGTGTCTCTTCTTATTTTTACCGGAACGCGGCGCCGATGTAAAATCATAGGGATGTTGGACGACGGTTTTTTTCCGCCAGTGAGGAATGAATGAAAATTGGACGGCAAAGAGAGGACTCGATCGTCTGATGAGAGAGTGCGCGAAGGATCGGGATAACTCTGTGCAGCAAAGTGCGAGGGAAGTGGTGGTGGAGTAGCACGTCGGGGATTAAAGGAGACGCATTGGAATGTTAAGGGCGGCCCTCGATCGGCTCGAGCCGAGAGCGAGAGAAGCGGTCTCGTCTTTCCAACGCGAGGATCGTCGATGGCAATCATGTTGTGCAGGACGAGTCTCGTGAGGTGTGTCGACACATTCTACGTCGGATAGACGCGCGTGAGTGTTATCTCGAGTTACCGGGTTATTGTATCGAGAAAATTGGATACTTGCGGAGGAAAAGGCACGCGCTGCAGAACCCTCCGAGAGAAGGAAATGCAAATTCTTTGATAATGGAGTAATTTTCGTAATTTTGAGCGGAAAATGCAGTTTCTATAGTTTCTCAAAATTAACCGGAGTTAAGCCGGTCTAGTATCTTCAAATAGAGACAAATAGTTAATTATACATCCTAGTTCGTTTCGACTAATTCTCATGAAACTTTAGTTTCATCGCTGATTTTGTGTAATTTATATGTACAGTTTGTGAGTTAAAAACGGTTTACTTTATTTGAAAGATATTTGGAAATGAATAATTACGTGTGATAAATTAAATTGAGGAAATTTGATGGTTATGGGAAAATGCATGCGTAAATTGTTTCGAGAAGAAATGCAAATTTCTTGATAATGGATTTTGTAATTTTAAGACAAAGATGACATGAAGTAGTTTATGTCGGCTAAAATTAACAAGAGTTATCTTAATAATCTAGTGCCATCTTTAAAAAGAGACGTGCAGTTAATTATACAGGCTAGTTAATTTTAACTAATATTTATGGAAATTTACTTTACTGCTTTTTAGTGTAATTTACATACGGTTTGCAAGTTTAATAAAATTCAATTTATTCGAAAACTAATTTAGAAACGAATAATTATGTGTGATTAAATGTTCATTAATTTTTTACGCAGACTTTAAAATACTTATAGTATCACCATTAAAATTGTACGGGGTTTTCTATCTTATAAGTAATTATTATCAGCCGATTAAGTATTTTAACTCGAAATACTTTGCATACATATGATAATAAAAGGAATGAGAGTGATAAATAATATTAGTACAATATCGAAAAGTGTCCTTATTAACACACATTTTTTTTAAACAGCCTGGCAGAATTGCGTTCATACAATATTTTAGTACTGTAGAATTTTTGAAAGCATTTCATGAACAAAATTTCAAACTTTTAGAAGAGCTCATTTTTTTCGAGTAATTATTAAACGCCTGTTTAATAATTAGAAATATATTATTTGTGAGAAAGTTCACATTATGACGTCATTAAAGTAATTGATTATTTATGTTTTAATTTGATTTTATTTATTTATTTCATATAATTTGTATAATTATTATAAATTACAAGATGTAATTTAATTGCAAATGTAATTGTAAATAATATGCACGTGTACTATTATCATTTTATCATTTTTCTTCTTTATATTTATATAATTTTATTTAATTATTTATTATATAATTTTATCTTCTTTGTTAGAAAATATTGTTGAAAACGAAGAGAAAATATAGGAAATAAAGAAAAATTAATATATTTTATATTCATTAATATATTACATATATTTCTTCATATATACAAAATATAATGCAAAGAAATAACGATGGAAATTTTAGAATGACTTTTCGATTAAGTATACTCGATTTGATTTCCGTTGACGTTTGCAAATCATTTGTTTGGTAATGAGATCATTGCTAATTTATGTGGTCTAGAATAATAGACGTCGAGACGGAATCATTAATCATAATCATTATCACAACGTTCCAATGATACGATTAAGTGTGTTCACATTGTTCATGATTACAATACGATGCAACTCGAAATGTGATAATATCGGCAAATTCCATGCAATTTCCGATCAAATAACAATTAACAAGCAATCTATGTAGTTAAAATAGTCTTCGTTCCTATTTTGTTTCTCACTCACACCTTCTTTTCTCTTCTACCATATTATATTATTAGATAAAACTACTACTTAAAGTTTAATTGTATTATATATTTTCTCATCATACTTAACTTGAAATTGTGTGTGTGTATGTGTATTGTGTCAGTATTTTTTATTTTTCATTTTGACATTTAATCGAACATTTTATTTATTCCTTTGTTGTATATTTATAATACGCTATTTATTATACATCATCACGTCATACATATAACTTTGTTTCAATTTTAATATAAATTTCCAGTAGCAATCTCTTTGACATAGTGAGTTATGAAATTTCAAAACCATTTAACAAGTTGTTTTTATTATATTTTTATTGTTTTTATCTATAATATTTTTATTTCCTCGAAATTTTGTAAAATGATCACAAACAGATTTTGAAAACAAATATCGTATCTTTTGAACATGTTATGTGTTTTTTTGTCGCAATATAAAAATTTTGATGTAAACTGCACTTTTATTTGTATATATCTAATATTACTAATAAAAATATTTGCATATAACATTACGCACACATTATACTTATATATTTATTTAAATAAATTTTAAGAAAATTTTTCAAAACGCTTTATGTTTTAATAGATCGCATATTACGTATATAGAGAGTGCTTCATAACTTTAAGCTTTAGAAATAAAAATTCTTAAGCAAATTTACTTTCCTCTGACAAAACTTTGATGGAAAGTATAATTTATTGGCCAGTTTTTAATTTTTGGTGTTAAATATCACGCGCTACTTATATAACAGATTATAATTTAAGAAAAAATAACATTAAATAGATTACATAATACATATAATTAAAGATATAAGATATAATTTAATAGTTTATAATTTACTAACACGCTATTGCATGTTAATAAGCTTAATGTGAAAAGAGTGTCTTTTTACTCTTAATTCTCCATAAATCTAAAAATGTGTTATTATCTATAAATATTATTAGAATTATTATATTATTAGAATCGTGCAATATCTTATAACATTAATTAAAATTTGAGGGTTATTAAAAGACTTCACCGTAAATTAATTTATTTTTGATATGATTTAAATATATTTCTTATAACTATTTCGAGATGCTTTATTAATATATCATGTAGCACATTTGGTTTTAATTGAAAATCAATTTAAATCAAATTAATTAAATTAGATCAAATTGAGATCAAAATATCATTTGCAATAGAATAATTTCATCATTTCATTTATTTGTTTTCGTATCTGTGTCAGGTTATAAATATTATAAATGTCATTTTTGATTAAATATTATAAATACTACTTTATTTAATTAAAGTTTGTGTAAATAATCTTATATACATTAAAACATTGTAATTTTTGACATTTATGATTTATTCGATATATTAGCAAGACGTAGATGAAGAAAATTAATGTACGTAAATTTTTGAGTGTCTGTTTTTTTAAGAAGTAATTTATAATATCTGTTTTATATATATATGTATTTAAATCTTAAATTAATTATCTTACTTTAAATATTAAACATACGCATTATATATACGTATACCTATTCAATTTACGAGGAATTTAAAAGGTATTTATGCCAATTATGTATAGTGTGTTCCAAATATATATTTTTTTCATTAAGCGTATTTCATATGCATACATCGCATTTAATAAGTGCTCAATGCGTATGATGAATAATTTTGATTAATACTGATGAGAATATATTTCGTTCATAAACTATGTAAATGTATGCAGATAATATAGAAGGTTTATTTTTCTGCGTAGTGTATTTATAAAATAATATTACAAAAGAAAAACGAAAAATATAATACAAAATTAATAAAGAAAACATCATAAACATGTACATCATAGTTGGAATAAATATTTTTCGATCGAAAAACACGTGAAATATGCACATAAGTGATGAGAACTGAAAACATTTTGCATAATACCTATCAAATTAAAAATGCCTTCCGTATCGCTATATATATGTATATAAGTATGCATAAAACAACAATGCTAATTATTAACGTTTTTAGTTCTCTCTGTTGACAGATTATTATTATAAATCAATATACCGCGTTCGATCTTCTCTTATAATAATATGCGCTTGTTATAAAACCAAGTACACGGAAAAACATTTTTTCAATATAATTATATATAAATAATTGTATAATTATACATATATTTTTAAAATTATATTTGTAAAATATGTCCATTTTTATATATAATTATATAAATTATAAAGGTTCAATATAATCATGTCAAATTATATATGAAACATATATAGGTATTTATATATATATATATATATATATATATATATATATATATATATATATATATAATTATATATATATATAAATTTATATAAAGTACTTTTATCTAATAATGTACATTCATATATAATTTTATATATTTCTATATAATTTTATATTGTTACATATAAAAAATGTTTTCCCGGGTGATTCGCGAATTAATTAACGGGAGGAATTTATTCGCAAAAATCGCTAGATTTTTAATTCACTTTTGACACCTTTGCGTTTCGTATTTTCCATTGAAAACGGATACCTTTTGCCGAGCACTTACTCTCTATTCGTAAAGAGAAGCTTCCCGAAGAGGAGGCGAGCGTCGCGTCGTTGGGGCTTCCACGTGAGAAGGGTGGGTTTCTCGCGCGCGCGTGCGGAACGCGTGGATTGTATAACGCGATAAAGTCACGGGTGGTGTACATAACGACGCGCCACTCCTCAACTTCTTTCCTGCTTTAAGTATCCCTTGCGCCTATACCTTGCCCCGACCTCGCATGCGTGCTTAACATCTTGAAACAATCGTGACAAATAAGATGCGCCCGTCAAATGACATTTATTCTCCCTCTCTCTCTCTTTCTCTTCCTCCCTATCTGTCTCTGTTTCGCGGCGCGACATAAATGACGCTTCCGAGGCACACGTTTCCTGAAAGCGACGCTACGTGTTGGAAATTCATAATTTTCTAACCTGCATTCGCTTTTAACCGTTTCACGCAGCTGTCGACACAAATCCTGTCTTCCTTTACTGCATGACGGATATCCAAGAGATACGTATATTAATTAAAAACGATTAATGTAAAACTTCTTTCTTGAATATATGAAAAAGTTGCAATAATTTGTACCTTTGAATCTGTCATCATTTAAAAATCTGCGTCTATACCTTTATTCGATCTGTCATTTTATCTGTCATTCTCTCTTTTTATTCCATGATAGATCTAAGAGACACCTAAATACATATATTAATTAAAAGGATTATTAATGTCAAAAT